TAATTGTTTAGATGTTCACGACGGGCATATGCAGATTTTAATTTCTTTTTAGTCTTGTAATTCCTTTAGGAGCCAAAAATGTTTACATTAGCTACAGAAATTGTTGCAATAATGTTTTTGTTTCGAAAATAAAATATTTGCATACAATCTGATGTAAAATAATGTATCCGAATCAAATGTAATGATATTAGAAGCCTTATTTTATTCAAAAGCAAACATGTCCGCAGGTTCTTCGGACCAAAACAAACATGTCCAAATGTTTCAATCAAAAGCAAGCATGTCCATCTTCTAACCTGATATATGATCATAATTATAAATAACTGATTTGATAGCAGTATAGTAGACTATTGTAACAATACTGGTAAGCAGTACAGTATTACATTGTTTGAAAAGACGATAATCTGCCAACAGTAAGTTGTTTGCCGTTTCTGAATAATCTGAATGATGGACATGTTATGTGCATGAACGCTCCTCATCTTAATCAGCATAAAATGTAGTACAAAAGCTAATACATCAACTCAAATTCAACAATCCAAAACAAATATTGAGAAATTATTCCAAGAATTTCAATCTTTGTCGCAACGTTGCTATTCTCAGTCTCGGTCTGCAGTCTGATGTGAACTCATCTGCGGTCGTTTTTACATAGCTTATATTTCACACAAAATTACGTGAAAACTACGGTTGCAAACTTCACATATTCAGTGTGTTCTACGAAAATATAACGTGCATTTTTTTACAGTTTTTGTTCCATCCGAGAAAGAAACTAGTACCAAAAATTTTGAGCAATTTTTGAGAAAATTGGTTGAAAATTTGGTTATTAATTGCATAATTCGCCATCTCGTTTGTTGCACTTACCAAGTTCCTCTTCTGTCGTAGATACTCGATTTACTGATACTTCTTCAAGCTCCTTGTCAGCTGTTATCAAAGACGCATCTGGCATCGAAGCTAAAAAGTGTATTCTCCGGTTAAATTTTGTTTTATGGTTCACTAGATTATTACAGTGGATTTATGGCTGTGGAAGTAAAAATGTAATGGAATATCTACTACTCTTATGGGACTCAAGAGATAGGAAAAATAATAAATATATGAATTAATGTTCAAATAAGGAATATAATTTGATGTAAACATTATTTTGTTGGATTAATATGAACATTGTAATTTTGAAAGGGTCGTAAGTCAAACTTTAAAAGATGTTTTATATCTAATTGATTGAGCAAGGAACTAGTAAACCATAAAGTTTGCACCAAGGACATTATTTGACGATTTTGCTCCTCAGGGGACTTCTAGAGCACTGTGGTTTTGGAAGTCTCCGTCTGGGCAAAAACATCTACTTATCGCCCTGAATTCATAAATACCATTTCACACATTGACATTGTTCATGTCTGGGATAATAATCTATTGAAACGTACCTTCTACTGTAAATATTAGATACAACAGGCAGTTGAATGTTGTAACAGAAATTCAACTTTGAAAGAATGCAAGGGAAGCATTTTTGGTGGAATATACGCTCATTTTTGTTAGATATACTACTATATATCAATCAAAGACCAAATTATAATTAAACATTCAAGAAATTGTGATTAAATTAATCAATACGATCACGATTCAATAAAAAACTTCATTCATAAAGACAAGAAAAAATTATCTGTTTCAATTAATTAATTATTGGTAATAGGTGGAGGGAACCAAGGCTAAAGGCTAAATTGTTATCAGGTTTACGTGATCACCATTCGTATTTCCAGACCTGTGTGCCTCGTAAACTTTGTTTCAAACACCATGTATCACCACCACGGATTACCAAATTTCTTCCCTTTCTCTGTCTGCCCGAATGTTTTGGAAACTGGGTATGAATGTGACCGCCTGTACGCCGGGGTAGTAGCGTACGTGGGTGTACGGGTCGCTGCGTGAGCGCTGGCCTGTCTCCTCCAAACCTCCCTACCTGAGACAAGGCTCAGACGCCGCCTCGGGCTTACGATCTTCGCCGGCAGGAGACTGTTCTCTGGCGCAAAGGGCTTACGCGCTACGGCAGGGTTAAGGCCCATTCACAATGCAAACGTAAACATTAGCATAAGTGATAGACTGAAGTATTCACGGTCTAACAAAACGTCTAACATAACTTGAATCTCCGTAGAACCTCATGTGAAATTTGTTACGAGTTTGCCTGCTTCACAGGGGCTAGTCTAAATTTTCGCCCTATTCTTATTCCTTTCCGTTTTTGCCGCTGAGTGGTGACGCAGGAGCGCGCCGTAGGAAGCGCGTATGCGGAGAAGCTACCTGGCGGTCCTCTTGACAACGGACCCCGACGAGACGTGACGTGACACACTAGTGATGGGGGTTTCTCCTAGTAAGCGCTCTAAATTAACGGAGGATTACTCCAAGCGCAAAGCGCTCAACGCCCCTCGGAGGGCTGGGAGACACGTCGCTGAGAACTTTTTTAAATTAAAAAAGCCTGAGCAAAATAAGAGTTTGTATTGGTTGTGAGACATAGTTTACTATTGGTTGGATGCGAGAATCGATTTCGAGGTATCGACTATGTCCATGGCCCATATGGCGTTAGTTCGTCTATCCACTTCACTATTTCGATTCTCGATTTTCAGTTACCGTACTGTGATTGGTCCATTTCATATGTCTCGCTAAAGCATAAGCACAGAAGCTCGCAGCTTTTAAGTTAACGTCTTATGCTTAAGCGAACGCATTGCGAATGAGTCCGCTTATGGATGTAGACCTAACGTTTATGTTAAGCCATGCTTATGTTTATGTTTGCAATGCGAATGGGTCTTTACGGAGTGGAGGTTAAGGATAAGGTTGTCAAAGGCGTAGAAAGGCAGAGGAATTAACTAAGGACTGGGAGAGTCAGCTGATAAATCGAAAGTTTAAAATGAGTTAAAAGGTCTTTAAATGTTAATGGCGCCCACACTCTGATGCAATAGACTATGTCAGACGTGAAAAGTCGCCCGCGTAAATGTGTTTATTCTGTAGTGACAATAATCACTGACGCAGGAGAATGTAGTACATGTGATGGCAAGGTTGTGAAGACTGCAGCATTGAGATGATGAGTTGTAATCAAGTTTTCCGACTGGGAAGTACAGTGAGTACTGAGTTGATGAATGAATAAAGTGACTGTACGTTCTGAAAATATTCGGAACCAATTTATCAGTTCACTTACTGAGCTAATGTTTTCCCTTAATCCAATGGCAGATAAGCAAGGGAGAGAATCTCCCGCTTTAGCCAATCCGGTATATTTCCGTTTCTCTTTCAATCAGCTCGGTCAGGGATTGGATTGAAATGAAACTCGTAATGCCCGCCCCATCCACACGTAACTTATTAAAATCTTTAATTTTCTTTGGGGAAATTGGGATTCAAAACCGCAGACCTTTTAGCCTCGGTCCCCTCTCTCTACAGGTTATTACATTGACTTCTAAATTTTAAAACGTAATTGCATGAATATTTTACCAGAAGTTGGGCTGTTGAAACCATTGTATATGATAAATAACTCAATTCGCTGTAGTATAATTACAACTTGGACGGGTCTCTTCAGATTCCTTACCTATGCTTTCTGTTTCATCTGGAATGTCGCCATAGGTAGGTGATCCAGGCTGGTCTTGCAATGAAGAACCTCAATAGAAATAAAAAATAACAGTAATATTTTCAACAAAATTTACAAAATGTAATGTCTATTTCATACTTTAGGGAAGCGCTCTGATATCTTCTAAACATATGGCAACATCATTTTGAAAATCCATTCACACCATTGCATACCTATGTTTATTAATTTAATTCACTGTAGTATACTTACGAATTGGAAGGGCATCTCCAGGTTCCTTTCTTATGCCTTCTGTATCATCCACAATGTCGCCAGAGCTAGGTGACCCGGGCTGTTCATGCAATGAAGAACCTGAATAGAAACAAAAAAATAACCATTAATATTTTCCAACAAAATTTACGACTTGTAATGTTAATTTCATAAGTCAGGGAAGGTATGTGATATCTTTTAAATATAAGGCAGCAAAGGTTTGAAAATCCATTCATATTATTTAATTCCCTTCACAGTAAGAATAAATGTGCATTATTAGACATACAAGTACTTGTATATTGCCATTGCTGCAGAATCATGTACTGATGGCGGCTACTAACTCACAAAGAGTACTTGCTCACAAGCTCTCAGAAAATAGAAAATACATAACCACCACAACGATCCTGTTCAACTCTGGACAGCAGTATCTCTCTAATAAAAAAAACTCTTTTGCAAATAACAAAATCTTATGTCATCAACATGTATCTGTTACCGAATCGATTTATCCATAATATAACACAATCAAATAATACCCAGCCACCAGATCGATACCCAGAGAAGGGAATTCGTACATTGGGGACCGACAACCCATCCCCGTCCAGTTGAAGAGGACGCCATTTTCGAAGAATATTTCAAAACCATTATTTTTAAAACACAACCCCCATGTCCAGTTTTCAGACTAGCATATTTCTTTCGAGATATGGTTTGATTAAAATGTGTTTTCATTCCATTGAACCATTCGCTGATTGAATGAAGTCTGGTAATCTTGCCCCCTTTTATACACTTCCTTTTTCTCTGCTAATATTCTATAACGCTGAACATAAAATTTGGACACTCTTCTAGTTCTTGCTTTGTATTCCGTTTTGATATAGAAGTATATATGCAAGTAAAAACTGGACAACAGCGCGGCGGCGGCCTTCTTAATATGCTTACCTGGTAACAGTCCTTTACCTTACCTGGGTTGGTTTGGGTTCACATGTTCATGTAGAATTGAAGTAAGTTTAGCCATAAAAGGTGAGGGAACTATTTGGTTCCAAATTTACATACGGCCAGGAGTCGACGCCTATCAAGCACGTACCGACATCGTAGTTGTGGGGGTAGCTTTTACGTCCGTGCTATCCAAATCAACTGTCCAATGTCTATCACTTATGTTTATAATTAAAATCAATATTAAAATTCCACTTCAGTGTTTTACTGTGTTCTGCAGGTTACTGTTGCTCTGGCATGCTACCTCCCTTGCTTTAGAGTTGCGGTGTCAAATTGCGGAAATCGCGGAAGGTAAGTCAGTTTCATTGGATCGACAAAATCCACGCGCAAATGTGGTTTATTACATTCGCGCCCTCTATTCCTTTTATGAATCTTTATTGATATGAACATAAATTTAAAAAGATTCCAATATTAAAAAAGTGTTTTATATTATTTTAAATACTTTTAATTACTTTCAGATAATTATATTTAATTCCAAAACTTTGTCTATTTTTATTCAATGCAATAAAATTAATATAAAATTCAAAACTTCTTCATAATTAAATATTACGATATTAATAATTACTTCTGGTACACCTTTCAGAACTCTATATTATTCATTTATGCATATTAAAAAAACTGTGGGCATTTGTAATTCTGATGAATTTGCACTGACATTTTTTAAAAGGGCCTAGGTTTTCATTTTGTGATGATAAAGCAATTGTGATTGTGATTTTTGATCACTTATCTCTCGATGGGTTTTCTACCGCTAGCTTCTATTGACACTGCAATGGCATTGTAGTATCCTGGAAACTCGTATTTTCATACCTGTTGCATCATCATATTTAACATTGCCATTTATCGAGAGCAAAACTGTCGTAATTTACGAATCACTGTTTGTTTTTTATAAATTATTTTGTACATTTACGGGTTGTGAGCCCTTCATAATCATTCAGAGCTAGGGTTTATTATTCGCGTCATATCCTCTAGGGAAGTTGGTATAGCAATACTTAAAAATACCTCCTTTCCCCTTGGTTATCTGGCTTTTTTCTTTCCTTAGCTTGAATTTAAAAATAGAATTGCTAGGTCAAATAGATGGTATTGTGGTCTACAAAATTAGCTTAAACCAAAATTATTAAAGGTTCTTAATAGTTAAGCTGCACAAATCTTTAATTAGGTCAATACTCTTGAACGTGTATAAATAATTATTAATATTATTTCATAATTTATGTCTAAACCAAAAAAGATGAAGAGGTTCTGAAACTGCTTGAAGTGAGAAGTTGGAGAAGAATAACTTACCAATAGAAAGAATCTCTGGAGTTTCCGTGTCTAAACTTTGTGGTTCATACGGCAGGTCGACGGGAGGATATGATGGTAGTCCATCGTAAGCAGTTCGTCCATCGTATGACGGCCCTAATTACACAAATAAACATTTATAAAAATAACAAGTGGTTACTCATCGCAGAAAAATATATTTTCCGTCTCATTAAGTGTTTAAAACATAAAAACTCTATTAAATCGTATTATTGACATACCACCAGAGCCATCCCTAGATTTCTAACTGCTTGGAACGGATTTGGAACATCTCTCTTTTAACCGTGCATTGGCACCGACTTCCATAATATTTAGATATCAAAACCTTCTTTTCAAACATGTTGATACCTTTTTCCTTTGGCTTTGAAACTTCTCGATTTATTTTAATTAATTATATCAATTGAACTTAAGAAAACAAAGATCATCAAGTAAAAATGGTAGTTACATGACGATTGAAGCTTATTGCGAATACTTCTCTTGCCTTATTCTTCGCAGGCCGCTGACATCGTCCTTCGCCTATCGCAGGCTGCGCCCTTACCTGCAGGAGGAACACTAGCAGTCCCGCCCCCGTCAGGACCTCCGAATGGCCCCGAAACGCCGGACTCCGGCTGCGGGCCTAGTAGCACATCAATTACAATCTGGTAGGTGAAAATGCATTAAGACAATGAACCCAGTATGATGATTTACTTGAAAAATATCTTCATCCTTTTATTTACTAAAGCTTGGAAATGTCTTTAATTCTAGTACTCAATAGTTTACTCAATTTAGCTCTCGGCGTAGATCACTGCGAATTCCCTCCTCTCTCCTCTCTAAGAGGGGGAAGATGTACTGGCATGGCTTCTATTCGCGCCTCTCCCTGCCCCACGTTCAAAATCGTAAACCCTCAGCTAAATACGCATTACTCAAGGCCATGCAAGGGTATCGGAAAATCAGAGTACTCTGCGTTGTGTCGCATTGTGCGTTGAATGTGTCAGCAAGCAGTCAGAGTTCAGCCATTAGGTAGTGAGGTGGTGTGTAGTTTTATGAGTTTCACAACCAGTTAAACAATGCGTAAGCCATAACACATTCTTTTACATTAGACTTACATTAGACATTAAAAAGTCAAACTTATGGAAGCAAGAGAAACTCCGAAGCTGTCAATGAAGAATGTTTAATATTCATTTATTGATGATTTCTTCTATAAATACTATTATAATATAATGGTATCTAAATCTATGTATATAAATCTATTTTAATTATCATAATAAAATCATGTAATTTTAATTTAATTATTTCTTTACTTACTTTAATTTACTAGATTCAGAAAGGATATACCATATCATATTAAGTGTCGTTAAATGCACTGCATAAAACGGAAACCTTCATAAACCAGATCTTTTTTCTGTCGCGATCGATTGCGGATTAGACAGATTTTACTGTATTAAATTTGATCAGTGAGTCGTCGCTCCAACTGGGAATCATACCCGGATGTCTTGGTAGAAACCAAGACAGATCTGTTTCTTGGTGGAAACCACCAACTGGGCATGGTTTCCAGAGGAAGTGATAATTCACTGATCAAATTTAATACAGTAAAATCTGTCTTAGCCGGAATTAATAATTAAAACTTTTATATGCATAAGATCATAATAGATGAATTTACTACGTTGGATATATTGCTGAGGAAATTGCCATTCTAAAATGATGGTGTAAGAACATCATTTTCTCTTACCATAATTTCCGAGATGACAAATTCCTTTCGGTTCATGATGGGAGTCAGATTACTTATTCTCCCAGTTAGTTTGACAATTCTTTGAGCGAAATTAATTATTGATATTATTATTATTATTATTATTATTATTATTTACGTACGTGTATCAGGGATTTCTGGTACTTCAGATCCGCAGCACGCCATTTTAGGTTGTGGTTCATGTGGAAGCACTTCCTTAGATGTACCTACACATTTCAACGCATAAACAGTTCAGTGTTACCTTCAAAGTTCCAAATATTTTACTACGTGAAATTCACTATTAAAATAATATTTCAAAATTATGGTATTACTCAATGATTCATTACGATCTTTTTGTGACCGCATAAATATAAGTTTAATAAACTCCCACTTACTTGGAGTCTTACTTGGACGGGGTTCTAACGAAGTAACAGTCCCGTCGGTGAGTTCCTGTTCAGGTGTTGGGTCATCAAACTCTTTCTTGCATGTTGGTTGGGAGCAGGTGAAACAATCACAATTTTCCGGTAACCCGTCCTCCGCTGTGGGTGTTTGTGTTTCGTGGTGAGGGCCGTGCTCCGTGCTCCGTTGCTGCTCCATCTGTGCTGTCGAATCGCGTTCAGGTGTGTCTCTCGCAGCATCCGCCTGGTCGCGCGCAAAACTGGTCGTTGAGCTGGTCCCCGCTGTGGGGGCGTGGCTCTCCGCGGTCTGCTTGCCGCCGGGCGCCGGTTTCGAGGAACCCAGCTGCGAGGCGACCAGGATCTCCTTGGCGGCCATCCGCTCGGCCGCCATGTTGGACGCGTCCATGAGCACGTGGGCCGCCTGGCTGGCGGCGGCTTTCTGCGTCGTGCTGAGCGAGTCGTCCCCCGACGCTCGGCTCTTGGCTCGCTCCGACGCGCTCAGCAGCTCTTTGGATGCGTGCGCCAGCGCTTCCAGGTACAAGGGGTTTTCCCATGTTTTCGTCGGCTTCTTCTGAGCGGGCTTCGGTGGCGCCGAGGGGGCGTAGGCCGGCCTCGCCAGCGGATACATTTCGGGTACGTCGGACGAATCTCCCGACGACGTCACGGAATTCGACAGGCGCGACGTGTGTGAACTTGCTAGTAGCGACTTTTCATCGGAATCTTGAATAGGCGTCCCCGACGAGGAAACTGTGGGCATTTCTTGACTGGAGGTACCGGCCACTGTGTGTGGGCGTGATTGGTCGTCGCCTAGGTCGTGTGCGGGGAGCGTATCTCTTAACGAAAATTTTTCTGAAGGGGTCACTCCTTTAACGCTAGTCGCCACTTCATATTTTGACGTGGTCGGTGCCTGTTTATCAACATCATCATCAGGCAATATTGTACCTGTCTCTGTAGCTGGCCCTTTTAAATTTTGCCTATTATGTAACTTCTGTTGTTGGTCTTCTTGTTGTGCCGCAACGACTGCCTTTCCTGTCTCGTGCCTAAGGTCTGAAGCGTCTGAAAGTGGCGTTTCGATGGTATGTGAAGGATATGAGGGGAATTGAGATTCCGATTTTTCTTCACAAACAACCGATGATTCCTTTGAAGATCCTGTAATTCTATCCAAATTCTGCTCCATAGACTCTTCGTGATCACCAGCAATTATTGAATCACGAGAAATAGTTATCATATCATAGGGTGACTGCATTTTTTGTGGGGAATGCGGTTCCTTACTCTGAACATTCTCATTGTCATATGAATCACTCGCATCTCGCTTAAATAGTCCACTCTCAGAATGGTCACGCATACTTTCCGCCGGGCGTTTATAAGGTATTCCTTCTATGGTAGACGATGAATATTCTGTTGGCAGCTGGGTATCTGGTAGGGACGTTTTAGTCGACGGTTTTACAGACTCTGCAGTATGCAATTCACCGTAGTAATCATGCAATTGTCCACCATCCTGCTCGCTCAGTTGCAATGGATGTTCAGTTTTATGTGTTGTCTCTGCGGAAACTTGTGTGAAATCCTCTGAATATGAGGCTGCCTTCGGTGACGTTGTAGTCGATGGACGCATCATCGATGAATTTGGCTCTCTGTGTTCCACAGGAACATCTACGTTCACTCTATCCAATAGACCTGTGTCAGAGATATGCTCTAGTTTACGTGTTTTCCATGCAAATACATCGCTTGTTGAATGCTGTGACATTAAATTTCGTACATCATTTTGTGAGGAGGTCTGTTCCTTAAGTTTCGCCAGTAAGCGCCCTATACTTTGTGAATTTAAGGTCGAGAAATCTTGGGCAGTCGGTGACGCAGGGTCGCCAAGTGACATTGTGTTCTGTGAAAAATTCCCTTCT